CACTAAGAAAACCTATTCTAGTCTTTGCTGTACCTCTTCCCAGTCATGAATGTAGTGCTTACAAGGTTACTGCCTGGGCATGTCCATCTCTAGGTTACTGCTTGTTCACCTCCTGGCTCCTGTGGCTGCTTCTGAAGGCTTCTGTGGATTCTGCTGCTAACTCTGGTTGCTGGTAGGTCCTTTGATGTTAGCTGTGGCTCTCCCAAACTTACCCATTTGCCTGGGCACTCTCATCTTGGAATTCTCATTCATGTAAAATCAGGAAAGAATAAACTTTTAAAAAAATTATTAAAGAGGCACCATGTGCTTACTGTCACCAGGTTGGAGAAATTTAGCCAGCTATTCTTCCCCCACACATCAATACTCCTCTCACTCTAAGCTGCCAAAAAAGAGACTGAGAGATGGGTGGGTCAAATCTTTTGACTGCAGCATTCAATTCTAGCTCAGCCATTCCTGAGTCATCATTTCTTCCCAGCTGCAGCCACTTAGAAGACTTTTCACACAGTCCAATACCCTGAGTCACTCATGACCTGAAATCAGCCCCTATAGATTGGAAACAGGCAGAATATGTATACATATGAGCTAAAAACTAGCTCTCATTGGCCAGTCCATCTCATCAGACTTGTGTTTTTTTTGTATATATTCTATATAAATGCACACATTGTCTTCCCCAATAGAAGGTTAAGTCCTTGAGGATAGGCACTGTTCCATTTTTGCCCTTGTATCTGCAGTGCCTAGCACAGTGCCTGGCACATAATAGGAGCTTAATAAGCACTTATTGATGGATTGAGGGAGAGATCACCATCAGGGAAAGCTTCAAAGAAGAAGTGGTTTGTGAATTAATCTTTGAGAAAGGGGAAAAGAGCAATTCTACTCTGGAGGTTAACAACCAGGGGTGTTCTAGAGCCAACTCAAACCTGGCACTGTTAAATTTTAACTGTGAGCTTTTACACCTTGAAAATTGTCAAATGCTACAAATCGGGGTTTGATTTATGGTTTTGTTGATTGTCTCTAGACTTAAGAAAGTGATGGAGAAAATGATGTTAATAATGCAGATTAAGCTTAAAAATGTGTCATGTGTATGTTTCCCCTCTCCACTGTCTATCTGCCAAGTTGGTTGTTAAATATTTACCAGTACTCTTAACTTTCAGCTCATCCCACCTCAGACAGGAAGATGTATATATGTATATATATATGTGTGTGTATATATATATATACCCCTCTGCTTTTCAGAGGCACAGGATTAGGGGGTTGGAAAGATATCACAGTCCCACCAGTTCTGGGCACTTCCTAACAGTGATCATTAATGATCTTAAAGAGAGAGGGAAACAGTTTAAGAATGTATAAAAAAGTTCATCCTACACTCTCACCCCCATGGATAATTCAGATGATTATTTTCTTATAGAGCATATCAGTCTGTATTCTTGTAGGGTTGTACTTAATCATACTGAAGTCTTTCCTCACCTTCCTTATCTGCAGAATTAAGGGGTTGGACAAGATGGCCTTTGGAGTTCCTTCCAGGCCCATAGCTATGATCCTGTGAAAACAATTCTGAGGTTTCACTTCATGCCTGACACAATGGAGAAGATGGAAATAGTTAATGTTGGTAAAACAGTTGGAAAGCAGGCACACTGGTACATTGTTGGTGGAGTGGTGAATAAAAACAGATCTTCTGAAAATCCCTTTGGAATTATGCTTTTTAAAAAGTGACTAAAATATACCCTTTGATTAGAGATCCCACTGCTAAGCATATCCCCATAACATATAAAAGACAGAAAGAAACACTAAAATATTCATAGCAACCCATTTTGCAGTAGCAAATAATGGGAAGCAAAGTAGGTTCCCATTGCCTGAAAACTATATTGAGGCACAACATAGAAGACTTGGACTTATGAAGGAAGATGCTATCCACTTTTAGAGAAACAGATGACAAGTAGAAATAAGCACAGTATGGAGTTACATATATATGTAAGAGTATATGTATATGTTTATAGGGATCTATGTATATGCATATATATGCATATATTTGTGTATATATATAACCTATGCTTAATTGTAGCCATTTTTAGGTGGGGTGTGGGGGAGGAGGAGAAAAATAAAATAAACAGTGCACAGCAGAGAACAAAAGAAAACCTACAAGGAAGCAAAGAAAATGTAATGGCTTATATAAGGATTAGTTGTAGAAACTGGGTATATTTAGAAAAGAGGATTTAGGGAGGACATGATAGGTATCTTTTAGTATTTGAAGGGCTGTCAGGTGGAAGAGGCATTCAATTTGTTTTGCTTTTCCCCAGATGAAGACCTTGAAGCAATGGGAGGAAGTTGCAGAGAAATAGTTTCACTTACTTTAAGGAAAAAAGCTATACAAAAATGAAATGAAGTAATCAATCAACCAATCAACGTTTATTAAGCTTCTCCTATGTACCATGCACTGTACTAAGTACCGGAGATAACAGAAAAAGGCAAAAGACAATGTTTGCCTTCAAGTAGCTTACAATCTAATAGTAATAACAGCTAGCATTTACATATCACTATGTCCCGAGTGCTTTACAATTATTATCCCATTTAACCCTTACAATAACCATAGGAAGCAGGTGCTATTAATATCACTATTTTATAGATGAAGAAACTGAGGTTAAGTGACTTGCCCATGTTCACATAGCTAGTGAGTATCTGAGGCCAGATTTTGAACTCAGGTCTTCCTGACTCCAGGTCTGGTGCTTTGTCCACTGTATCACTTAATTGCTTGATAAAAAAGTTCTTATCACTGGAGGTCTTTAAGTTGTATAAACACTTGTTGGGGCTATTGTTGAGAAGATTAGAAGATTCCTGTTGAAGTATATTTAGTACAAGATGACCACTGAGATCCCTTCAAACTGAGATTCTAATTCTACTGGGCAGAAAGGAAATACACAGGCAACAGTGATATAACATGAAAGTAAATGATTAAGCAAAGGTTAAAATGAGATTAGGCTTTTATTTGGTAGGCAATGTGAAATCATTTTAGATTTTTGAGTAAAGAGGGGAGGGAAGGGAAGGGAATAAGCATTTATATAATACTTACTATGTGCCAGGCATTATGCTAAATGCTTTTACAAATATCTTATTTGATCCTCATGACAACCCTGTAGGAAGTTATATGATTATTACCCCCATTTTATAGTTAAGGAAACTGGGGCAAACAGATTAAATGACTTGTCTAGGGCCACACAGCCACTAAACAAGTGAAGCTGGGTTTGAACTCAGGTCTTCCTGACTCCAGGCCCAGTGCTGTAGCCATGGAACCTGCTAGCTGCGTATGCATCTAACATCAGACGTGATCAGAGATGTGTTTTGGGAAGATTGCTGGGGCAGAAATGTGTATTATAGCTACATAGGCATTGGGGAATACTGAAAGAGGGAGACCAGTCAGGAGGTTATTGTGATAATACGGATATGAGCTGATGAGGGCCTGCCCTGGGCTGGTAGTAGTGGGAATAGAGTGGAGAGGAAGGTAGAGAGAGAAATTGAGCAGAAGGCATTCTTGAGCCATATCCATGCCTTTAGAACTTGTGTAGAATTACCTTTAATGCCCTCCCCTCCCCAATGCAAGCAGCATCTCTGCTCCATCTTGCCCACACCCACACTATGGTTAGGAACAGCATCAACAATAGTTCTTTGTGTAGCTCCCTCCCCTGATAGTCTGGTCCTGAATTCTTTCAATAGCTGCAGAGTATCTGGGGTTAGACAGGCCTGAACTTCATTTCAGATATTTTGTAAGAATAATTGTACCCTTTTCCAGTCTTCCAGTTGATTCCATTGGCATAGCTTTCATGGTTTCCCTGGAAGTAGAGCCCATTGAGATTAGCAAAGTGGCATTTTCCATACCACCAGCCCCCCTTGAACATCTGGGCACAGTTGGATTTGTCTTCATCATTGTCTTGGTCCTTGGTGGTAAATGACTTGTTACTGTGGTAGGTCATTGAGTCACCTGCAGGGATTAGGGTACAACCAAAACTCTTAGTTGTCCAACTCTGTCCACCCCTATGATGTTCCAAAAGTACACAAAGGGAATTAGAGAAATGTGCAATAGGCTAGGCCCAGGGGCACCTGGGTCCCAGCCCTGGCTCTGTCATTGATTAATTGGGTAGCCATTTAACATCTCTGGGTAAGAAGAAAGATGAAGAGAGAGAAGAGAGAAGAGAGAGAGGGAAGGGGGAAGAGGAGGAAGAAGAAGAAGAAGAAAGAGAGAGAGAGAAATGGTGAAATATGATGAGGGATGATTTAGAGCTGGGAGGGACCCCAGAGGCTATCTAGTCTGAACTCTTTATTTTCAGATAAGGAAACAACTCAGAGTAGTTAATTGACTTGTCTAAGGTCACACAGGTCATAAGTTACAGAGGTGGGGAGAGAGCACTAGAAATGTATGAGAAAAGCAACATGGAAATGAGGTACATGATCTGATTCTTGAAAAAAATATAGAAAAGGCAGAGGTGAGGAGCAAGTGCAACCCAGGAAGAGGGGGAAGCTTGAATGAATATAAAGAAGCAAGAGTTAATATATTGAGTTCAGGGATCACCTTGGAATCCAGTCTGGCTGCAGTGTAAGGTATGTGATGGCCTAATATGAAATAAGGAGGTTGGAGGCAAGCTATGAAGGGCCTTGAATTTTAGACTAATGATTTTCCATTTTATGCTGGAGGCAATGGGGGCCATTAAAACTTTAGAGCAGGGGAATGACATGATCAAATTTATGTCTGAGGAAGAGTATTTTGAGAATGATGTGAAGAATGAATAAGGGGAGAGACTGGAGGCAGGGATACCAGTTAAGAAGCTCCAATAGCCCAGGTCAGAGGTGATTAGGGCCTGAGCTGGGGTGGTAGATTTGTAAGTAAAGAGAAGAGGACGGAATTGAGAGATGTTATAGAAGCTAAGTAGTTCAGTGGATAGAGTGCTGGGCTTAGAGTCAGGAAGACCTCAGTTCAAATCCAGCTCAAACATTTACTAGTTGTATGACCCTGGGCAAATCACTTAACCTCTGTCTATCTCCATTTCCTCAACTGTAAAATGGAAATAATAATAGCACCTACTTTTTACAGAGTTCTTGTGAGGAGCAAATGAAACAACATATATAAAGTGCTTAGCCCAATACCTGGAACATAGTAGGTGCTTTTTGCTTGTTCCCTTTCCTCTTATAGAACTGACAGAACTTGGAAACTAACTGCTCCAGAGATAGAAGAGTAAAAAGATTCAAAGATTTGGTTTTGAATTTGGTGCTCTGGGAAGATAGGGGTGCTCATGACAGAGGAAAACTGGGAGGAGGGCAGGTTTACTGGGGAAGAAGAAAAGTTCAAATTCTGGATATGTTGAGTCTGAAGTGCTAGTGGAGCATCTTGGTCCATTATGTGGGACTGGAGCTCACAGGGAGGATTGGGGCTAACTATATAGCAAAGATGGAAGCAAGCATTTATCAAGCACTTACTCTATGCCTCCAAGGGAGGCAGCTTTTTTTATGTTATCCAGGGCCTTTGTCTGCCCCCAAATAATCTATCTCCTATCTTCTCCCTACACTCTACATCCTCTCATAGCATTTCTGCAAGGCTCCCCTTTAGGGTACACCTTTCCCTAACCATCTCTTTCCAGTACATATATTGTCTAATCATCATCCTTCTTAGGTTTTCTTGTTTCTGGGGATAGACGAGCTATTCTAAAATGTGAAATCTGCCACTAAGCTTTGTGTTGCCATTATCCCATAATGATGCCATAGAGTGCCTCATATGGGCAGTGGGGCTGTAAGTTTCTGAGGGATAGACACAAGGGCCTGTGGCCTCCTCATTTTAATAGGTCATAACATCACATACCACTGGGACACCTTAGAGATGATCTCATCCAACCCCCTCTTCTTGTACATGGTGTAATTGAGGCTTGACTTGCCCAAGATACTGCAGTGATGGAGCAAGTATCAGAACCTAGGGAGAGTCTCTCTTGAGCTCTCTCAGAAAGTATCCAATGATTTTACATCCTTGGTATTGTGCCTAAGTCATAGGTTGTAGGGAGGCAGAAAACTCTGGCCAAGGAAGCAGAAATGGTAGTCAGAGTTGCAGGGGCAAGGTGGTGGAAAAGCAATACTTCTTTTTACTGGATGAGTCTTTGCGGGGATATTTGAATACATGACCTTTTATCCCTTCCCTGGGGCCCTCTACCTGTCACAGAAACATGGATAACCCACCTGCAGTCCCATCCACAAAGTTTCCCAGGATCAGCATATATTTTTCTGTCTCTCCCAGAATCTGGAATGATGCGTACTTGGCAAAGAAATGGTTGTGGTCAAAGTCTTGGAGGTCAATTCGGAGTTCATTGTTTCCTGTTTAGAAAGGGTATGAAATTGTGTTTTATTAGTCAATTCCTACTTCCTAAGGATACCCTACTGTCTCCAGACTGGACTATCTTTAGGGCTTGAAGTTTTAGGCCAGTTGCTTTAATTTATCACATTTCTATCTTCTTTATTCACTTCCCATTGATAGGGCTGCTAGACTTCTCCAACCCCCAGGGCTCTTGTGACAAGTTGAACCTATAAATGTTGTCCCCAAATTTGTCCATGAGCATAGTCTGTGCTTTTCCTTAGCCTGTCTACCATGTTTTCCAATTTCATTTATATAGACTGTCAATATTAGATATATTCATTCCCCCATTAGTAAGTATATCATCAGTTTTTGATACCTGTCTATGATTGTGAACTCACATTTAGCATGTGAATAGTTACATTAATATTTATAGAGAGTCTAAATTTCTATATTTGTAGGAAGTCTGTGTGAAGGGGAAAAAACCCTCATAGAAACAAAATGTGGCATATAGTAGATACTTAATAAGTATTTGTTGGATTGAATTGATTGAACCGAACTAAATTGACTAGAGATCCTTCTGAGCTAAGGGAGTGATTCTCTATTGGTAGCCTTCTAGTCTCTATGACAAATAGTAGGAAGATACTTTTGGGCAAGGGGACATTTTATAGCGTTCTTCACATCATACCATACAGGGACCACCCTACTCTGTATATGCCCTGTATCTATGGGTGAGGATCCTTTGCCTGGACCCAGGGGAATGTGGGTAGAGACGATGAATTTTTTACTCTGAGTTGTTAGGCGATGGAGGTTGTCATTCCCCATCCAAAATTCCCCTAGCTGACTGCCAAAGCCTCTCTTGTATGCAGCCCAGTCCCGGAAGAAATTCACAGACCCATCAGCTCGTCTTTGGAAAACCTATGGTGGAAAAAGAGGAGGGAACAGAGGTGGATATGTACAGTCTGGAAAAGAGAAGATTATGAAGGGATAGAGTATCTGTTTTTAAGTGCCTGAAAGGTTGAAGCATTAGGATTGCTCTATATCATCCCAGAGCAGAGGACCAGGAGCAGTAGGTAGAAGTCATAGAAAGAGAGAGTTTGCCTCAGTAGAACGTAGCCTGCCTTTGGGAGCACACAGACTTGACAAAGGGATGATTTGACTGAATTAAGAAGAAGAAAAGACTCAACAGACAGGTAAGCCAGAAGAAAGAGAGTGGAGCTGAGATGGTAGCAAGCAGCATGGTGAGAAATTTAAGCTATGAGTGAGTCTATCAAAAAATCTGGAGTAGGAGCAGCTAGGTGGCGCAGTGGATAGAGCACCAGCCCTGGATTCAGGAGGACCTGAGTTCAAATCCAGTCTCTGACACATAACACTTACTAGCTGTGTGACCCTGGGCAAGTCACTTAACCCCATTGCCTAGCCAAAAAACAAAAAATAAAAAACAAAAAAACCCCAAACAAAAACCTGGAGTAACAATGCATGGTGATGCATTAGGATCCAGAAGGGCAGCTCAGGGATCTGCAACTCTGAGGAGGTGAGATTCAGCACAAGAGACCAGATCAGAGGAATGTGGGAAGAACCTCTTTTGATTCCTTGCAAAACTACTTTTTTCCTTTTGCTTAGCTAGGTGTGTGAGCACTTCTTCCACATGCATTGCTTTCAACTTAGATCTTATTTACCTATTGTAAAACCCTGTTGGCTAGCAGAAATGCTAAGCTGGGTCCACATGTTCTTTAAGGCTTATGAATAGAGAGAAAATAAGAGAGGAAGTATTCTTGACTTTGAGGAGACAGAACATTGGGTCAGCAGCTAGTGATCTGGGGACTTTAAGCTCTTAGGGTAAAGGGGGACAACGTTGCTAGACCATGCAAGCCTGATGTATGGATTTAGATAATCCTAGAAATAAATTAGGAGCCTGTGAAAGTGGCAGGCTGTCAGGAGAGAAGCATGGATAAGAGTACTTTCCATTTCCAATTGATGGCCACCATTCTGGGAGGGGTAGGTTTGAAAGGAAGGCCTTTCTCCTTTGAGAGAGGAGAGAGTTGAAAGAAAGTTAGGCTTACACAGAAAGAGTGAGGATGGGATTTCCCCATCTCCTAGTACATGGGCAGCTTAGCCTGCCTTGTTGGTTACTGACACTTGCTGCCTACAGTGACTAGCAAAAAGGGTTCCATAGTTTAATGGGTTGTCTTGGGAGACAATGAGTTTCTTCTCATTGAAGGTCTTCATGTAGATGCTGGATGCCCACTTGTCTGGGACATGGTTGAAGAGATTTCTGTTCAGATATTGATTGGAGTACATGAAGTCTAAGGTCCCTTCTGATTCCATGATTCTGTGACTATGCTTGGAAGAATGAAATCCTCCCAGGGTCCTCTAGTTAACATGCTCTTTCCTAGACCATATGGTCGAAGACCTCTCCAAACTGAAGACTCTCCCACTAAACCTTAGGCAATTTCTTCTTGTTTTAGTTTGAGATTAGTTTTTCCTAGAGAACAGAAAACTAAGTACAAGACCTAATAACTTCTTTCAAACACATGATGATTATTATAAGGAACTCACTGACCAGCCATTCTCTATCACCCCTGAAGACAGAATAAGAGGAGACAAAATTCTATTGCTAAGGAAGTCAGGTAAGACCCACAGGAGACTTTTCCAATGAGAAGTGTTGTTGGACACTGAAACAGCCTGTAGTTGTGGAACCTCTTTTCTAGAGATCCAGAAACACTTTGGGGATGCTTGTTAGAATGAAAGGAAAATGAATTACAGCAGAGGTGTCAAACATGGTACCTACAGCCACATGTGACCCACAATATTCCCTAGTGTGGCCCAAACCAGATTAAGTTTTGATTAGGAAATATTTAACAAAATAAATAAAAATAAAATAAATCATGATAGTGTTAATATGTGGTTTTAAAAGTCAATATGTGAAAAGTTGTTTTAACATGTAATTGGTGGAAAATTTTTTTAAAATATACAATTTTTTTTTTTTAAAGTCAGTATGTGGCCTTCAATATATAGTGTACTGCTTCTTCTGTCTATTTGAGTTTGACATCACTAGACTACAGGATCAGAGAAGGTCTCATTCTCACTCTTGGTTTCTGGATTCTATTTTTTTTTTGGGCAGTTGGGGTTAAGTGACTTGCCCAGGGTCACATAGCTAGTAAGTGTTGAGTGTTTGGTCTGAGGCCAGATTTGAACTCAGATCCTCCTGACTTCAGGGCTGGTGCTCTATCCACTGCACCACCGAGCTGCACCTAGTTTCTGGATTCTAGATTCTATGAATAGCTACTTAGTCGGGAAGGTTAGTGATAAGAAAAGAGACCCTGAGCAGGTTCCTCACAAAGTGTGATTAACTGTGGAGTGTTAGCTCCCTGCACAGAACTACAGAATGTCAGAGCTGGAAGGGACCTTATCAATTATCTAGCCCAAATCCCTCATTTTAAAGATGGAGAAACAGAGACGTAGAGAAAGGAAGTGATTTGGGCTTAGGCCAGCCTGCTCCTGGAGGCAGTCACTCACAGTCCATCCCCCACCATCGGTGTCCATGTCACATAACACAGTCATGGGGGAGCAGTCATGGGGATAGACCGTGTACCAGCCACTCAGGATCTTCCCCTGGTTCACCAGATCCTTACAGGTTCTTGGTCCTGGAGAGAAGGAAATGCCAAATGATGAAGGAGGTAAATGTGGCTCAGGTTGAAAATACCTACACAAAACAAGGTGTACCCAAGACTTTTTCCTTGGCCTGCTTCTTTTTTTCTCTTTCTTTCTCTCTGTGGACTGGTCTAGTCCACTCCCATGGCTTCTATGATCACCTTTATGCAGTTGACTCCCAAATCTATATTTCTAGCCCTAATCGTTGCCTTGGTCTCTAGTCTTATATCCCCAAATGACTGACTTCCATTGGCACTTCAAAAACATGTTTATACCTGAACTCACTATCTTACCTCCTAAAGCTGCCCTTCTTTTCAATTTTTCTATTTTTGTTGACAGGGCCATCATTCTCATCTCCCTCACCACTCTGCCTACAATCAGTTGCCAAGTGTTGTCAATTTTGTCTCCTCAACATGTCTCAAATTCATCTCTTCTTTACTCATACAGCTACTACCCTGGTTCAGTCCCTCATTACTTCTGACCTAGACTACTGAAACAGCCTGACTCCTTTCTCTCCTCTCTCCAATCCATCCTTTATGCAGCTGCAAAATCCACCTTCTTAATGCACAGTCTGATTCTGTCACTCCCATGCTCAAAAACCTTTAGGGGCTCCCTAATGGTCATAAAAAAATGCAAATTCCTTAGTCTGGTATGTAAGGCCCTCCACAATATGGCTCCAACCTACCTTTATTTCACTCTAATATCTTTCATGTGCTTTTACTTTCTAGCCAAACTGACCCACTAACTATTCTCTGATCCCTTTCTTATGTGCATTTAAGAAGTATACTCCATGCCTGGAGCATACTCCCTGCTGTTGCAATCTTTCTCTATTAAGATCTTATATCTTATATCTCTTATGAAGTCTTCACATCCTTTATCTCTATATCCTTTACTCATTCCTGCTCCCTTCCAATGGAATGTGAATTCCTCAAGTTTCTTATAAGACTCTGTCTCCATCTTTCTTTTGTCCTTATCCTGGTTTACCTCATATCATACTTATTGATGTGCGTGTTGTGTCTGCACATCTGCTAGACTGCAAGTGTCTTGAGAGCAAGAGCTGTGTTGCTTTTTTTTTTTTTTAAGTTGTAACCTGAAGAGAAGCAGTGTGGCAAAGTGCACAGAGAGCTGGCTTCTGAGTCAGGTGGACTTTGTTATGCCTGACACAGCCTGGCTCTGTCATACTGGGCAGATCACTTAATGTCTTAGTGCTCTAGCCAACTCTCTAAGACTGTGAATGGAAGTGGAAGTGACAATCTGCATTAGAGGAGGGAATTTCCTCTTCCAGGAGTTCACAATAACAATGAAATCACAAGTCCAGTCCCTATTCTGACCTAGATCAAATTGTTCCGCTGGTGGCAGCTACCTTATACTCAGACGTAGTGCCCAAGACAAAATCATCAGTTCTGGAATTCCCGCCTTATAAACCCAAGCCTACAAAGTGATGGTGAAAGTCATTTCACCTCAGTTGTTTTAGAGGCCAGTGGAACTCTGCTGGTGCCTCTCTAGACCCAAGTATCGCAGAATGCCCTTCTTACCTGGGCATTATCCTACAAGCTGGTGCCCTATTCTTAGAGGGGCCACTCCCATAGAATTATAGATTTTGACCTGGAAGGGACCAAAAAGGCTACCCCTTCATTCTACAGATGAGGAAAAGGAAGCAGAGGAGTTAAGTGATTTGCCCAAAGTTACACAGGTGGTAAGTATCAGATTTGGGCTTTGGATTCATGTTCTCTCATTCCGAAGTTGGTGCTACCTTTCAGCTGCTTCTTCTGTAATCCAGGGCCACACTTACCATTCGTACACAGCATGTTTTCCAGATCCTTTGCCCCTGGAGGTGAAAGGAAAAATGGGGCAAAAGTTCAGGGGACCAAATGTGACACACAATGACCAGGATGTGAGACATGGGGTGCAGAGTCCATGTTAGCTCCCTTGATTTCACCCCAAGTATATGTATCAGAGCTACAAGAAATTGAGGAGGCTATTGACTTTTCTTCTTGGCCTCACCTCTCTTGGTAGTTCTCTGCTTTTCCATTTTTCTTCTACCTCTCAACAAATCAAGCACAGACCAATGCTCTCCAGAAGAGATCTCTGAGCTGACTTCAGTACAGGACTAATTCTCTCAAATAGAGAGAATGGCTTCTGATCTCCCTACAGCCTTTTAAAAATTTTGTGGTAATTCTTCCATGGGGTAGCTAGATGTATCAGTAGACAGGGTGCTATACTTGGAGTTAGGGAGTCCCAATTTCAAATCTGGTCTCAAATACTTACTAGCTGTGTGACTCTGGACAAGTCATTTAACCTCTATTTGCTTTAATCAGCTGGAGAAGGAAATGGCAAAACACTTTAGTATAGAAAACCCCATGGATAGTATTGGTGTCCTATGGTCCACAGGGTCATGAAGAGTCGGACCCAACTGAACGACTAAACAACAGCTCTTCCATAGAGGATAGGATGCTTCCTGGGCATTCAGGTCTGTTTTCTAAACTTATGGTCCTGGTGTCCTAAAGATCTTCCATTTCAGTTATTCTCTCCTTCCCTTTTAACAGCTTTGAAAGTACCAGGGAACAGCTGGCCAGGAGTAGGAAGCATGGGAGAGAGAAGGGAATAAGCATTTATATAGCACTTACTTTACTCCAGGTACTGTGCTAAGCACCTTGCAAATATTATCTCATCTGGTCCTCACAACAACCCTGGGGAGTAAGTGCTGTTATTACTCTCTTTTTACAGTTAAGAAAACGGAGGCAGACAAAGAGTAAGTGACTTGCTCAGGGTCACATAGCTGAGACTAGATTTTAATTCGGGTCTTCCTAACTCCAGGCTCAGAGCCCTATCCACTGCACCACCTAGCTCCTATGTCACAATGTCAGGATTGTACTGTGTAGGCAGGAGACGACTGCAACCTGGGGTCTGGGGAGAAAGGACCCTCTCAAACTAAGAGTTTTTTTTTTCTGTTCAAAAACAGCAGTCCAGACTTGTCATGGGTAATTATGAGGAGTATTCTCACCAAAGGATGATGACATCCCTGGGGCTCCTTTTTCTCCTGAAAGAGAGAAACAAATTTTAATTCTTGGCTGTTCTGGAGAGATCTTTCCCTTTTTGTTGTTCTGGGAATTTATTTTCTTGTTACTGATTATGACCAATAAGAGTTGCCAACTACACACTTTCCTGGAGTCTGTTCAGTTATGCAATTGGTGATAGGGGAAGAAGTATAATCCTATCTAACAACCCAGGTAATAAACTGCAGTGAAGTCAGGAAAATGAGCTCTCTCTTCTTTTCCCCTTGGTATCTTTGGTCAGTCATGTATTGGCTACAGCTTTAGATTTATTCTTTGGGGCTGTATAAAGGGTAGAGCAGTACTTGGTATGTTTTTGTTGTTTGTCCTTCGTTCCTGAAGAGGACCATGACATCAAGAAGATGTCATGACTTGCAAGTGAATTGGTTTTCAGGGAAGAAGGGCTGGGCAAAGTCACCAGCCTCACTTTCTCCTCTTGAGCCATCTGGTCCAGTGGCAAGATATAGATTCAGGATGATGGGAGATGGCCCTGGATGCAGCGGGAGGCCTTAACCTTTTTAAGCTAATGTCTTTCCCAGGTCTCAGTCTGTCTGAGGCAATGCCCATTCATTGATTAAGACTAGGGAAGATGAAGCAAAGAATGGCCTCTTTTACCTAGTCAATGAAATAAATCAAATCAAATCAAATCAAATCAATATGGGAGGGGAAGACCCTCAAGGTTTCTGGCCAAAACAGGAACAATTGCTATCTGCAGTCACTCTGAGTGTAGGTTAGGTTGCAAACAATGACCAACTGAGGCTTGGGAAGAACTTACTATTGGCCAATAAATGAGAGCCAGAGTGATTTGGGTTTAAGGCATAGTCCATAAAAAAGAAATCCAGCCTCCAAGAGTGGAGGGAGAGGGAGGAGGGAAGGAAGGAGGAAAGGAAGGAAGAAAGGGAGGGGAATTTGTATAGGGGGCAGATATGGAAGGATACTTTAAAATACATTTGTGGAAAGATAATTTTAGAGCTGAGTGTGAGTTCTTAAGTTGAAGTCAGGCCCAGAAGCGCAACCTTGGCCTAGATCCTAGTGACCTGAAGAGGCTGAGACTCAATCAGTGTACTTTGGCCCACTTCATTGGGAGACCTTGGGCAAGTATATCAGTTAACTGTTCATTGCCTCAGATAATGGGAATATCTAAGGACATTTTGTGCTTCTTTTCTATTTATGTAAGGTTATGCCCCCTTTCAGAAACTGACATTGCTGACTGAAAAGGAGTGTGAGTTGAATATGAAAAATGCTAAGAAAGCCAGATGAGACCACTTATTTAGGGCAAAGACAACCTCAGCGCATTGTTTCCCAGATACTCACTTTCATGTGATCAATGAGAGAACTTTAGAGTTAATAACTGATGAACCTTGAACCCCAGAATTCTTTATAAGTATTGGCCAAATGTAGAGACTTAGGGTTATACTTGTTTATGGCTTAGCCTGAAGAGATGAGGATATAGTAAGTATACTAGTTAATCCTCATAAGTTAGAAAAGGTCTCTCACTGAGGGTATCCAGCTCTGGAACAGTCAGTCAGTTAAGAAGCATTTATTAGGTATCTACTATGTGCCAGGCACTATGCTAACTGCTACGGATACAAAGAAAGGGAAAGAATAGTCCCTCTTCTTAAGGAGCTCACAATGTGGGGAAGACAATATGCAAACAACCATATACAAACACGTATAAATAAGAAAGAATGAAAAGAGAGTAGGCACTAGATTTAAGGAGGACTAGGAAAAGCTTCTCTTGGAAGATGGCATTTTATTTGTGACTTGAAGCCAGAAGGCAGAGATGAGGAGGGAGAGTGTTCCAGAAATGAGGGACGACCAGCCAAAATTCTCAGAGCCAAAAGATGGAGTGTCTTATTTGTGGAATAGCAAGGAGGCCAAAGAATACAGTGTGTGTATGTGTATGTGTGTGCGGGGGGTGTAAAGTATAAGAAGACTGGAAAGGTGTTGGTGGTGGGATCTAGGTTATGATGGGCTTTGAATGCCAAACAAAGGATTTTGTATTTGATCCTGGAGGTGATAGAAAGTTTATTGAATTTATTGAGGAGAGAGATGACATAGTTGGACCTGAGCTTTAGGAAAATCACTTTTGTGGCTGAATTGAGGGTGCACTGGAGTGAGGAGAGACTTGAGGCAAATAGTCCAGGTGTGAGGTGATGAGAGCCTGTGTTTGTATGAAAGCAGTGTCAGAGGAGAGAGGTGGGGCACAATTGAGAGATGTTATAAAGATGAAATTGACAGGCTTTGGCAATTGATTGCATATGGAGAGTGACAGATAGTGGGAAGTCCAGAATGACTCTTAGGTTGCAAGCCTGAGGGACTGAGAAGACAGTGGTACCCTTTACACCATTGACAGGGAAGCTTGAAAAGGAAAAGGGTTTGGGAGTGGGGGGAAAGATAATGAGTTCTGTTTTGGACATAATGAGTTTAAAATGTCTTCTGAACATCCAGTTTGAGATGTCTGAAAGACAGTTGGAGATGTGTGATTGGAGGTCCGCAGAGAGATTGGGGTAGGAAGGGTAGATTTGAGAATCATCAGTATAGAGATGGTAATTAAATCCATGGGAGCTGATGAGATCACCAAGGGAAGTAATATAGAGGGAGAAAAGAAGAGGGCCCAGGACAGAACCTTGAGGGATGTGTGTGGTTAGAGGGTGTGACGGGGAGGGAGAGCCAGTAAAGGAAACTGAGAAGTGATCAGATAGGTAGGAGGAAAACCAGGAAAAAGTGTTGTCCTGAAAACCTAGAGAGAAGAGAGTATCAAGGAAGAAAGAGTGATTAACAATGTCAATGGCCATGGAGAGGTCAAGGCGAATGAGGATTGAGGAAAGGTCATTGGATTTGGAAAGGAAGATTGATCTAAGGGAAGACTCTAGAACCTGATGGAAGAGAGGCTATATACTTTTCTGCCCTGACACCTGCTGCCTAAAAGGTGAAAACCTTTCAGGGTCTGGGCAAGGGAACAGACCTGGAGAATTTCTGCAAGTCCCAGGTTAAGGTTCTTTTCTGAAGCAGTAAACTCTACCCCAGCAGCCAAGAGGCCCATCCTAGCAGAGCAGCAGCCTGGCCCTGTAGTAGTGGAGCAGCCCAGCTTAGCAGCAGGGCCATGTGTCCAGCACATCTGCCATGCCTCACTACCAAGTGACTTTAAATTTAAATCCACTCTTCCTATGTGTGCTACATACATTTGAGGGAGAATACATCCCAGGTTATTGAGTGGAATGTTATGTAATTACTGTTCTTGCTTTGCCTTTTGAATAAGTGCATTTGTTAAGTTAACTGTGCCATCTGGGAAGTATGCTGGGCTTGGGAGCAGTAGTAGTAAGACTACACCTCAACACCTCCCCATCTTCTCACCACCTGCCATTCTCAAGGTTACTACTAGAACCATGAAAATAGTTATAGTAGCCGCCCCTCTGAGGACCCAACCTACTTATGTGGGTGAGATTAGGGAGTAAATCCATTATACATATAAAGGGAAACCCCATTATACTTATCTCAGTTAAATATATATTATATCTATTTGTACACCTGAATTATCTCCTTAACTTCTTGAGAGAAACGTCTATGTCTTATTTACCACTATGCCCTCAGTTTGTTAAATTCGGTCGCATTGAGATGGTTTAATTTTAGGCCTTTCTGGAGGTAGGAGATGGACTTTATGACCTCTTGTGGTTACTACAAGGCTTCTATGAGTGTATACTTCAGAAAGAATATAAATAGAGTCGATCTCATTCCAGGGTCCCTTCTTCCCTGATTCTTCTTCTATAATGCCTTGGTTCTCTATTCTCTGTATCCACCACCATCTTGTGTGCCTTTTATCTTTGACTACATAAAAACCAAACAGAAATTGGGATTTTGGGCAGAAATCTAAAGTATAATCACTGGTCTAGTACTCCTGACCTGTTCTTGCATCCCAATGGGGGTTCTGCACGGGAGGAAGCTGCATTTATTAGGTACTATGAGGCCTCAACAATACTTGTGTGAGTAACTATGTGTGTGAGTGTGTATGTGTGTGTGTGTGTGTGTGTGTGTGTGTGTGCGCGTACATGCTCAATGATTCTTGGGAGTCTGTAATTATTGTACTCTCCCTCTTTAAATAATAGATATATCTCAGCAAAGAAGGCTACAAAGGGAATTTCTAAAAAGACAGTACCATTTTCCCTTCAACTTCCATTATAAAGTTGAAGATTCTTCTGCACAGAAAAAAATATCCAGTGACTGAGTTGGAAACTCTTGGAGAGTAAAGGGCTAAGTTGGTGATCAGCACTATGACATAATGGGTGTTGTACTGTAGATCAGTGGTGTCAAACTCAAGAAACTGGTAACTAATATGTACATAAAGCTCCCTGTGGGTCACATGTTGACTTAGTTTTAAAATGTAATATTATCTGTGTCTTATTGTATTTTTATTTACTTGATTACATTTTAATCTGGTTTGGGCAGTATTTGGGTGTGTTGTGGGCTGTGTGTTGCTGAAGTTGATCAGAATTGTCATGTAGCTCCAAGAAAAGTTTTAACTTTCTTATCATTTCCTGACACTAAAATCTCTTCTGTATCTGGGAGCCCTCCTTTCCTCCTTTGACCTGGGTATTCATACTCCAAACTCTTTTATAACTGTACCATTTAATGAAGAGGAATCTGTGGATGTCTGACAGAGCTAAGTAGCAATACCTCACTTAACCAGTAGGTGTCACACTCTCATACAATGTCTTCTATCCTCCAAACAAATTAGAAATGTTAGATTCTGTGAAACAAATCAGTTCCCTACTTTTTCAAGGATGATGGTTTGACAAAATGCAAAACAAGTTGCCATATTTGTACTTCCTTTTTAAAAGTTCTCCCCTTCCAGATCCAGAAAAAGCAAATAACAGCTCAATCTGGGATTGGAGCAAAATAAATTCTCCCTTCGACTCTACCAAATTTTTCCTTTTTTAGTGATATACAAATCGGTCATCCCTTCATATCACAAGGCATTTTGCCAGAAGTTAGTACAGTGCCTCACACAAATAAGGCACTTAGTAAATGGGTGATGAATTGAAATACTGTACTGAAGGTAATGAAGAACCTCTGTTATTAGGTATATATCAAAGATGCTGAGGTATTGTTCTCTCTTACCTTTGCTTCCCATTGGGCCAGCTTTGCCTGGGTTCCCTGGAGGACCTTTCAGTCCTGCAAACACAAGGATGAAAGCTTGGGTCCTTTTAGGAGAGAGATGAGACTCCTGACTATCACTTAAGTGGGGAAGGAAGGGGCAACCTTAGCTCTTCTGGACCCAAGGATGAAGACCTAGGCTGCCCTTAGCCTAGTTTGAGTCCAAGGACAGGAGTGGAGATGCGGATGGAGATAGGAGAGCTCCGCAGAACTGAGCTTATTGGGCTAGGGACAGGAGGGAAAGGATGGACACAGAGAGATCTTTTATTATCAGTTTTTTTCTCTTCTATTCCTTTTTCTCTTCTCCCTTTTACTCCCTCCCTTTCCTCCCAGTCTCTCTCTTTTTATTTCTTTTTCTTCTTCCCTCCTTGGTAAAGGCTCTTCCAGGGCAACTGCATACCTCTTTCTCCAGCAATGCCAGCTTCTCCTTTGGGTCCTGGGGCTCCAGGAGCTCCTGAGCACCCTTGGATCATGAAGATCTTCTCTGAGGATTCCAGACCTACCACCTTCACCTCTGAAATATGCAATGAGGGCCTAGGCTCAGGCTGAGAGGCCCAAGAAGCTGCTGCCTTCTTCTTTAGATGGTAGAAGCAGCAAAAAAGACCCTGCCTGAAATAACTGTGTAATTCCCAGCCTCAAGTCTTCACATTGTGTCTCCAGCAGGGAAGAAAAATGAGTAAATACATGATTCATGGTAATGTTTTTAATTTTACTATTAAAAAAGCTATTTATTTATTCATTCATCCATCCATCCGTCCATCTATCTATCTATCTATCTATCTATCTATCCATCCATCTAACTTTGAGCAATAATTACCTGAATCAAAATTGTGAGGAAAGAAAAACCTTGACTGAATTTCATTGTACCTGCAAACTTTAGAAAATTTACTTATATGTACCATTCACTTAACCAATACTTATTAAAGGCCTCCTATACTCATTGTCCTAATAAGCGGAAACCTTAGATCAAATAAATAAGTGTTAGAGTTGACAATTGAGTGTAATCAAGATCCTCTGAAACTGTTAACTTTTCAGTGACACATATATAGACAACTGGTGACCTTCATTTACACAATAAAAAGTTGTGCATGTAACGGATTACATCATATGCACACAAAGAAAGCCTGTTATTAGAAGAGTCCTGTGGGGAATTACTTTACAAAGTGATGGATCCTTTTGGAAAATAACTGAGCAGAAGGACAGGATGTTTCTATCCACATGTGATCTTTTTAGTCAGCCTGGATTTTTGTGGATTGGGAATTCTTACCTGCATGGTGACACTGGCCTCAGCAACAACCTTTAGAGTCAATTCAGTCTTGCAGGCTGTCACTTGAACCCCCATGAAACTCTTCAGACCCACTAATATCTTTATTGGCAGCGCTACTCCTGGGCTTTCTGGTCTGGGAATTCAAGGGAGATCCCAGGGACATGGGGGAATTTTACCTGTCCCCTGTCATGAAGAGGAGATGAAGACTTATTGTTCATTTCTCTGTGGTTCTTCCTGAAAGAGAGTTGTCCTTGGAAGTTAAATGTAGCTGTAAAGGAATTACCCTTGCTTACCTGGGCATGAGTTTTCAGCCTGGCACAGAAAGGTGAGGACCCAGAAAAATCCTACCAGGAATAGCTCAATTGACCTCTTCATGTTTGGGGGTTCTTCTTGGGTGTCCAGTGCTCTTTTCTATGTCAAGAGTTATAATAGCCTCTGAGCACCAGGATGAACTCCTCCCTGATTTCTTAGCCCTGCCCACTTGCCAATTGGTTTTCCTATCCTGCTTAGATAGCTCCAGGCTACATGGATGAGAGACCCTTCAAGATATAAGCCCTTGGACTAGTACTTGGATAGCCTGGCAGTCAAAGGTGATGAGAACTGTGTTTTGTTAGAGTGAGTGGACTAACCTTTTAGATCCAGTGAGATAAAGGAGTAAGACATTTGGGAAGTGGAGGAAAGGAAAGCCTTCCTTGGTCTTTCTGAATCCCCTCTCCAGTTTTCTAGCTCTCCTTCTTGTGTTGTCTTTGACCATTAGAATGTAAGCTCCTTGAGGGTAGGGAGTATCTTTTTTTGGGGGGGGGTGGTATTTATATTTCCAGAGTTAAACACAGGCTTGGTACATAGTAAGTGCTTAATAAATGCTCATATTCTCTCCATGCATATGCATACATATACATATGTGTATATTTAATATATTTACATATGTGTACATGTACATGTGTCTTTTCTTAATACTAAACTTCTGTAATATTTGACTCTTTTGATTACCTTCTTCTGGATTCTCTATCCTCATTAGATTTTCATGACACTTCCTTTTCTGGATTCTTCTCCTATTTGTCTGTCTGCTCCTTCTCAATCTCTTTTGCTGGTTCTTCATTCATGTCATGCTAGCTAACCTTTAGTATCCCACAAGTCTCCGTCCTGAGCTCTTTTCCTTTCTCCCTCTGTGCCAGAGATTCTTTAGCCTTTTTTGTGTCATGGACTCCTTTGTCAGTCTGGTGAAATCTATAGAGCCCTTCTCAGAATAATGTTTTTAAAGGCATAAAATAAAATACATAGGATTACAAAGGAAATAAAGTATATTGAAATGCAGTTGTCAAAATAATAATAATAATGATAATAATAATAAACCCAAGTTCACATACACCATATTAAGAACCTCTGCTCTATACTCTATCTTGCTTTGTTTATCTCATCAGCTCCCATGGGTTCAATGATCAATTTATATAGATGATTTCCAATCTCTGTATTCAGCCAGAGTCTGTCTCCTGAGTTATGGTCATGCATCACCATATGTTTCTGGGACAGCTCCAACTCTCCAGTCTCCTATGATGCACTGCAAGCTCACCATGTCTCAAACAGAACTCATCATCTTTCCTCCTCAACCCTTCCCTCTTCCCAGGTCCCCTGTTACTATAGAGGACAATACTGTCTTCCTAGTCACCCAGGTTCACAAACATAGTGTCATCCTCAGCTCTGCAATCATACTCACTCCATATATCTAATCTGTTGCCAAATCTAATCATTTTATCTTCACTACATCACTTGTATACATTCCCTTCTCTACATTCATACAGCCACAGCTCTTATTACTTCTCTCCCTCTCTTTTTAAACTTTGTTACCCTAATAATTAATTATTACTTCCCTTCTGGACTATTGCAATAGCTTTCTAATGGCTCTCCCTGTCTTAAGTCTCTCCTGTCTACATTCTATCTTCCACTCAGTTCCTAAGACAATTTTTCTAAAGCACAGGTCTGATCATGTTCTCTGCCTCCTCTCCTCATCCCCTACAATGATTTCCTGTGAAACTTTATCACTTCTAGCATCAAATATGAACTCCTCTGTTTGGCATTTAAAGCTTTTCATAACCTGACCCCATCCCCCCTTTCCAATCTTACATTTTTCTCTTCTCCGCCAACTCTAGGTTCCAGCAATACTGGTTCACTTGTAGTTCCTTGACCTCCTCTTTCCATGCTTTGCGCCAGCTATCCCCCAAGGCGAGAATGTCCTACCCCTTCCTCTCTTCCCACCCTTATCTTCATTAGCCTCCTTCAACTCAGCAGCTCTGATCCCAGCAACTTCTGGAGGTCTCCCTTGATTCCCCCAGTTGCTAACTCCTTCCTCTCTGAGTGACTTCCATTTCCTCTGTACAGGTATCCTTTCCACATTGTGGGGATTAGGAGTAAGGCCCTTGCCTCCCACCTCCCGACCTGAAGAATCCATGTAAAATTTTTTGGCTCTCCCTGTGTACCAGAGAAGAAGTCTGAATTATTATGGTGTTAAAAGCTAAGATATGTTGATAGTATACAATACTATACATATATTCTATGCATTTCTGAGTTTCTAAACTTTTTTTGTGTCATTGGCTGGCCTTCATGTGTTGTCTGTGGCTTCTGCAAAGCTCCCCCCAAATTCTCATTAATTTCTTATGCCAACCTGTGATATATTGAAACTGCAATGGGGAAAGTCACGAGGTGGAAGGGAAAACTGTATCTATCTTGTATCTACTTAGTTGTTTCCATATTATCTCCCCCATTAGACTGTGAGCTCCTTGACAGCAGGGACTGTTTTTGCCTTTCGTTGTATCCCCAGTACTTAGCAGAGTGCCTGGCGCATAATAAACACTTAGCAAATGCTTACTGACTGACTAATCCAGCACTATGGGATGGAGTATAGCTCTATGGTTGATAAGACTAGGGGTTTTCCCAAATCCAAGAAGATATATTTTGTCAACATAATTAAACTTATTCTTAATGATTTGCATTTAATTTAGTTTCAAACAGCAAAATATCATGACAACTCTTCAGTCACTCCTTTTAAGCCTCCAGTAGGATTCTTTATTCGTTCACTTTCATTCACTAATATAGTTGTAGTTAGTGTCCATTCTGTTCTTCTGGTTCTATTTCCTTTCTTTTCCATCTCCCTACTTTCCTTTTCATGAAGGTCTTTTCAAATTCTTCATAATTGTTGGTCTTAACTGCATTATAGTATTCTATTATATAAGAGGCATATAGTAGAGTGTATAAACTCAGGAAGTCTTGGAGTTAAAAGGATCAGGGTTCCAGTCTGTGATAATAATAATAATAGCTAACTAACATTTATATATCACTAACTATGTGCCAGGCACTGTGGCAAGGGCTTTACAATTATCATGTGATTTGATCTTTGCAACAACCCTGGGAAGTTGTTGTTGTTCAGTCATTTTCAGTTGTTTCCAACTCTTCATGACCCCATTTGGGGTTTTTTTTGCAAAGATACTAAAGTGGCTTGCCATTTCCTTCTCCAGCTAATTTTACAGATGAGGAAACTGAGGCAAACAGGGTTAAGTGACTTGCCCAGGGTCACACTGCTACTAAGTGTCTGAGGCAGAGTTGAATTCAGGTGTTGATCTTATTATTATGCCCATTTTACAGATGAGGAAACTAAGGTTAAAGTGATTTGCCCAAGGTCATACTCCTAGTAGGTGTCTGAGATCTTATTTGAACTCAGGTTTTCCTGACTCCAGGTCTAGTGCTCTATCTGCTACACTATCTAGCAGTTACTCAATTTTTTCAAGGCAACTAAGACCGCAAGTTTCATTTGGTGGAAAATGGTTCCATTTTTGCACAAGGAATTCACTACTACCCAATCAAAGTCATGGTACTCATGGTCTGCAGACCTCTAGGCCATTCCCCTTCCTTATTCAGTGAGTTCAGTACCTCAATGTGTTTAGCCCACTGGGTCATTGTTTCAGCCCTAATGGTTCAGAGTGAATGTAAATAGCAATTGTTTCTGTTTTGGCCAGAAACCCTGAGGGTCCTCTCCTCCCAGATTGATTTTTTTTTGGACTAGGTAAAAGAGGCCATTCTTTGCCTCATTTCTTACCTTGGGTGGTCCCTCAGTCAAACTGAGACCTGGCAAAGACCTTAGTTTACAAAGGCCAAGCTCTCCTACTGGCTCCAGGCTTATCTCCAGTTCTCCTGATCTATATCTTGCCACTGGGCCCAGATGGCTCCAGAGGAGAAAGTGAGGTTGGTGACTTTGCACAGCTGTCCCTCACAATTCACTTGTAATTCATGGCATTGCCTTTTTGATATCATGGTCTTCTTCAGGAACAAAGGACAAACAACAACAACCTGGTTCACAATTTTTCCCTCCTCCCCAGCTCCTGCCCTCATTCTTTGGACTTCAACATACATATTGACTTTCCCTCAAATACCTTGACCACTCGGTCTCTCAACCTACTCACTTCCCATGACCTTCTTACTTACGTCTCCATTCCACATCAGTCCTACACAAAGATGGTCATATCCTTGATCTTGCCATCACTCACCAATGTACCCTCTCCATGTTCAAGAATCTGAAAATATCCTTATCTGACCATCGTCTATTGGCTTTCTATCTCTTCCTCTGCCTTCCCTCACTGAACCCTTACTCTTCATGCACACTGTGATGTCTAATCCCTTCATCCCTCAGTTGTCTTCCAGGTCATTTCCCTTCCACTAGCTACTCTCTCCTCTTTTCCCCATCTTGACCTCTTGGTGAACTAGTTCAACTCTATACTTTCCTCTTCTCTTGAGTCCCTGGCCCCCTTATCATATCACTGATTGTACCCTGCCAAACCTCAGCAATGGATCATTCCCGTCATCTGTTGCCTCTTCTCCTACACACACGCTGTTGAACAAAAATAGAGAAAACACGCAACTGTTCTAAGTCTACTACAAATTTATGTTGTATTACTCCAATTGGGACCTTACTGCTGCTAGGCAATCCTATTGTACTTCCCTTATGAACTCACTATCCCACTCCCATAGCAGCTTTTCCAAGCCTTTTCATCCCTGCTCAAACCTCCCGGGTCTCCCTCATTTCCTTTAATGTGTTCAAGTGAGAACCTTGCCTCATGTTTTATAGAAAAAAAATTGAGGCCATTCACTGTGAATTCCCTTTTCTCTCTTTCTAAT